CACAAGCCTAGGCCCTAGCCACACACTAATGTGGGAACTCCATATTTATGATGGTGCTCACGCTCTTTTTGCCAATATCGGCTGGGAGCGCCTATTACCTGCAGATTTTGGCACTTGTCCCCTATTTGCCCGAGAGTTTTTAGCCACGCTTAGCGAGATAAATCATGAGCGAAATTTCTCTTTTCGCATTTTTAGCACCCCTCACACTATTCACGTGGACTAGTTATGTGCGATATTCCATACCCCCATCACCAGTTTATCCCAGCCCACCCCAGCTTTTGATGTATGCGAGTTTTGGTACTCGATCACTAGTTTGGAGTCTTATGATTCAGTCCAATCCGTACAAACCAGTATTGTGCACCCTATTCTCAAAATTGCAATGAAAATTATATGCAATATTATTTATGCACAGACTAAGACTACAAAAGTCGGCAAAGACAAGCTTTTTCTTTTGTGGTGCATGGTCACCGGTTCACACTGCCCGCATTTTGGCGATCTTATCATCAAACGATTCCATAGAGTTATAGCCCTTCACATCGGCGGTGAAATTCGTTGTGGTGGTCTGATTTCTGTAATTTCCCGCTCCCTCGCGGTGCAATCTCGTCCCGGGTACACTTTCTTTGCAGGTGATTCTTTCCATTTGTCCCTGCAGACCCTTTGGTCTATACATATGCTTCGTACTGCCCCAGGTGGGTATGTTTGGATGCGGGGTCGCTACACTTATTTCAAGGTCACTGGCCCTGATGTCGTCTCCCTAGTAGACCCCATTAGCGACACTATGTGGGTTCTTTTGTCGAACATCCCACCATCTCCTCGCCCACGAAGGGCACCGCAAGTACGGCAACCACAGTTTGATCGACCATCTTCATCCACTCAGCACCCAGACTATGCATACACAACACCTATTTCCTTTAGCCAACATGATCCTATGCAGACTGACTTTCAGGATCAGCCCCCACCCACCCAGCCATCTCACCCTGACCCCAACTCCCCCTTCACTTACCAACATCATCTTGGCCTCCGTCAGGATATTTCTTCTCTTCAGCAGACTATGACTAGTCTCCGCCTCGATTATCAGCTACAGAGAACTCAGGTTACCAGTTATTGTGACGAGTTGTTAGGTTTGCGTGACGATTTCGACACTTTCCGTGACGATTTCTTCCGTCGCTATGCACCCCCGTCCGAGTAGTCATCTTCCACTCCTCCTTAAGCATTGAGGACAACGCTTAATTTTAAGCTTGGGGAGGGGATTTCCTATCTTCTTGTAGAAAGTTTTTATTTTATCATTTTTATTTAAAAAAAAATAAAAAAAAATATTTTCATTTATGTTTCTTTTATTTGTCATTTTATTTTTTTCCTAGTTTTTCAAAAATATTTTCATTTTGTTGCATTTTGCATTTGCATTCAAAATAATAATAATAATAATTTCACGAGATGATGACACTCTATACATACGATAGCTCCATGAAATTGGCTATTAAGAATTGAAAGTGAAAAAATCCGAAGCAACTTGATTGTTATTCGAAGTGTAGAATCAGCTGTCATAACCAGGGGATCCAAGACACCGTAATTCGAGACCCCGATCTTAGATAATAAAAAAATGGCATACTTAAATGTTTTTTGGGCGGTAATAACAACTCTAGGATGATTTGCTTATTAATGTTTAAAAAGAATCTTTATCAGTAACTCTGAACCCACAGAACATGGCCCTATTTGTTGACATGCGTTACCTCTCGTGGTAGCACAGAGCTTATGTATCAGATCTACACAGTCAAAATGAAGAAAGGGTACAACGTCATATCTAGTACCCAATTCAAAGAATTTCAAGCGCTCAATTGAAGAAACTCAAGAAACTCTAAAAGAGAGAGAGAGAGAGAGAGAGGGAGAGAGAGAGAGAGAGAGAGAGAGAGAGAGAGATTGAAAAGTCAATCTCAAAACGAAGTGTAAATCAAAGTTCAATCAAGTTAGAAGCCGTTCCAAAGATACTTCTGGCGAATAAAGAACTGTGTGATATGATACTTGTGGCTCTCGAAAAGTGAAAGCATAGAGCTCGGGCTCCTACGTGGGTTGGCCCTTGCTGTTTCGGCGAAAGCTGATTTGGTCGTGCGGGTTCTTAAGGATGCGTCGATTCTGATTCTTGGCCATCTAGTCTTAAGGACATGAGATCCGGACTATGCTATTTTCTCTCATAAGGCTAGAGTTGGATTAATGGGTTACACCGTTTTGTGGTCTTCTTTACTTTGGGAGTCTGTGATACATGAAAGATAGTAGGATGGTTGCGTTGGTGTTAGTGATTGGAGCCCATTATCAATGTAAAGGCTGATGTAAGAAGAAAAAAAATATAAAAAATAAAAAGAAAGAGAGCATGTTTCATTTTAAATGTTCGTTTGTCATTCGCATACTATTTTAGTTCATTGTTCACTTTCTTTATCTTTGCATGCATGTTTTATGTTTAGCTTTGGTAGTCCTTATTATTTAGGATTTCATTTTTTTAGTTGACGTGTGTCTAGGTCGTTCTGTTATTGCCTTTAGCCTTACTTACATTTCGAAAGTTATCGTTTCCTTACTTGAGGGAAAGTAAGGTCTAAGCTTGGAGAGGTTTGTTACATACATTTTATATGCATCTTTTAGCACAATTTCCTACATATTTCATTATAATAAGCTAACTAGTTCCTGATTATTTTTATGTATTTCATGTTTCATGATTATTTTGAAGAATGGTCGTACTGCTCACATTTGTTATTACTTTTCATGGCCATTTGGAGCAAATTGATGATTGCGCAAGTTCGGGATGCGTTTTTGGATGCTTTGGAGCTTAATTGGAGTCTAGACAAAGGAGGGATCCTGGGAAATGATCAGGATCTGCTTGGAAGGAGGAATGATGATCAAAAGATCCAAAAAAAAGTAACATGCAATCACATGTTGTCTCCTTGAGATTGCAGGTTCATCCTTGCGATCGCAAGTTGGGTCGCAGGTTGCTTTCGAGGTTTTGTCAAGCAAAATAAATTCACTAGCTTAGAAAAAAAGAAACATGTGATCGCAGGTTGTTCAGTTTGTGTCTAAATAGCAATATACTTCATTTAAAAAGTCCCATGACTCGTTTTGGATAAAACCTGCGATCGCAGGTTGTCCCTTTGCGATTGTAGGTACGGTGTTTTGACAACTAGACGTATAAATACAGCCCCATACTCTTCCAGTAACCCTAATTTGCGATTCCTGGCGACTCATAGGCGATTTTCAGAGGGTTTCAAGTGAAGAACACAGATCTAAAGGATACGATTCAATTCCAAGTCATAGTTAAGTATGATTTATTGTTTAGATTCTATTTTCACCATTTGTAATCCGTTTTTAGCCATGTCAGGCTGAAAACTCAGATTTCAGTTTCGCAAGAGGTAACCTATTCGTCTGATTAATCATTAGGCACAATGTTTGACTATGATTACTGTTTAGTTTGATCAATTATGTGTTAAATTGAGTGTTTGATTTGATTTCAATTTCTGTTGGCCACTTAAATTGTTTGTGAATCCTTCTAGTCATCTAATTGTTTAGATCCGTAATTTTCTAGATTAATTAGTAAAAAGTGACATATATTAGATTAATTCTGAGTTTAGTGTTAACTATAATATGAAATGATCAAACAAGTTTTAATGCCTCCGAGCTTATGAGAGGTATTGAACTTTACTGGGAATTTGTGACATCCTCATTTTCACGGCCAGAAAAGACCGATTTTGTTTATGCTTTATAAAAATCAGAGTACTTCTTTTCATAAAATGTTGCGGAATTTGTTCCCAGAAAAACACGATAAATTCATTATCAAAACATTTTCGAAGAAACGTATTTTATTTATGTTAAAACGTTTGGGATATCATCGTCAATACAGAAACATAAGCATAAACAGAACTTATATTTATTTACACTAGTGATCTACATCTCTTTAATCTCTCACTGTAATGTGACTTCATATCAACACCTGTGATGTAAATAAACTGAGTGGGTCAGGTTGGGAAACCTGGTGAGTACATAGGGTTTTCAACCCACAATAATATAATTATTATGTTCAATCATCAAACAATTAACCCATTTACCCATCCCCATTATCTTCTTTATTCCTAAGTACTCCCCCTAAGGATTTATCCTAAGGGGCATATCCTACATCATATTTACCTCTCATCTCCTTACGTTGTGTCTCCTTATATGTTTGTTCCTAAGGACTCTCCATAAGGATCATCGCCTACATCGCCTGGACAGTATTGATTCGGGGATTACTCCCTCAATACGTGCCCACCAAGGGTTAGGGTATCATCGCATAAATACGTAGTTACAACATCGCCTGAACTCGTAATTCATCACCAACAGGTTATGAGCCTGTTGGTGTTTCCATGGGGTTGTCTATAATAGTCCGTGGTTGCCATCTATACTCTGGTAGATGACTACATCTCCAAATCGTCAAACAAGGTTATAATATCTTTCATCCTACATCACCGATTCATCATCACCTATCTATCCTCACCTAATTATCATCACCTATCTCTCATCATTTTATTTCTTCACACATCAACTATTTCATCTACCCATGTTTTATCCCAACATATTATGTAGATATAAAATAAATATACAGTTTAAATCATTTAAAACATTTATAAAATTATTCCTCCATCATAGACAGCAAGTATTCAGATAATATGTACACATAGCACGTAATTTATATAAAATACTTCATTTTTATGTGTAAGATGAAAGGGACCATGCAATCACTTGAAAGGTGGTGACTCAGCACTCGGACAGCGCTTCGATACTCTCAAAACGATTTTCCATTGATAAAATCTAGTATCAATATCACTAGGGTTTAGTCTAATGATAACCGCGACAAATTAATTAGTCTGACTATTATTATTATACAAGCGTTAATAACTCTCAATATAACTCATAATAATAGCCGAAATAATTAATTTAAGGACCTAATGACATTCCTATAATTATTTGAAAGCTATATTAAAAATTGCGTAAGTGTAGCACACTTACATCAAATTTTATCGAAAACCGGAACTTAATTGGAGCAGCGTTTCGAAACCGAAAGACTCCCTTTTCTCGGGACTCCGGCAGCCTCGGGGCTTCCTTAGGGTGCTAGGGGTTCACCTAGACTTTACGGGGGGTTCAAAACCTTAGAGAGAGAAAGATTTTAGAGAGAGAATGAGAAACAGTGTGAAAAATCCGGAAGAGTTCACATCTATTTATAGGGGGCGAAGCCTCTCGAACCCTGGGCGTACCGAGGGTACGCTGGGCGTACTCCTCGGGTACGGATGCCAGCCGAAGCCATCTGTCTCACACTCATCTCGGAAGGATCAGACCGAAGTTACGCGGGGCGTAACTTCTTCGTACACGGGGCGTAATAGCGAGGGTGATGCGTCATCATCTGAAGCGAGGTCTGTGGACCGCAAGCGACGGTCAGGATTAAGCCACGTCATCGGTCTATGCATCAGCTTCGCAATTTCACTTTCTAACTTTAAAAATTCGTAACTTTCGCATACGAGCTTCGTTTTCGATGTTCTTTATATCCACACGAAGGTGAGAACGTATTCTACAACTTTCATTTAGACTTTGTCGGCTAGTTTTAAATCGATTTTAAATTTTATATTATTAACAGACTGGGACAGGATTGGTCCGTTAAATCCTCATAACTTCTTCATCCGACATCCGTTTTCGCCCATCTTTTTCTCGTTATGCTACTCTTACCGAGATCTTCGATTCTCGTTTAGGTCGTTTTGGCTAAAAATCACTCGATCTAATATTCGAATTTCGGGTTGTACACTGCTAATCCGAAACTTCGAAAAATCATAACTTCTTCATACGAAGTCAGATTTGGGCGTTCTTTTTATTGATGTTCTTAGTTTAACATAGTCTATGACTTTTGTTTAGATCTCTAAGGCTAAATCTCACTCTATTGTAAATTCACTATTTACGCTTCCCGGTGCCGAGCCGGTTCCGTCGCGAAACTTCGACGGGTCATAACTTCTTCGTTATAACTCGGATTTCGGCATTCTTTATATGTACGGAAACCTTGGGACATATTATACAACTTGGTTAATATTATTTATTCTAAATAATCCTTTGTTGAAAAGTCGTTTTCGACACTTATTGTCTCTAAATTGACTAGCCCGGATTTACGGGAGTTACAATTATCTCCCTCTT